GCTTGATGTTCAGGCAGTGCTTCTTGTAGGTCAGAGCACGGTCCAAAGTGACTCCCAGGTATTTGGGTGTGTTGCAATGCTCCAGTGCGATCTAGTTAAGCTAGTGTAATATGTCTAAGTTTACCAGGTCAGGACTGAGCCAGAGATTTGTGATATTATAGAATATGGACCTTGTTGATGTTAGATAATGATGTTAATAAAGATGAACCACTGTTGTAAACAGTGCTAAGTAGAAAACAGTAGGGGAAAAAAGGAAGCTCACATTATAGGTGGATAGACTCAGTCAAGGAAATCATTATTATCTTTTCTAATGAGTCTGAGTATTCCTTGCCTAAGAAAACCCTATAAAATTCAAGGGGTCACCATGGGATTGCAAAACCTTAAACTGGGTAATTGTTTATTAAACTGTGCATTTCAAAACAATAGACTGACTGTCTATTATTTTATTTAATTATTATTTATTTATTTGCTTTATTTCTATACCGCATTTTTCAGCTTAACTCGGCGACTCAATGCGGTTTACACAATACACATTATCATAACAATAACAAGTGGTTAAAACACATCATATACAACAAACAACAACAATCAATTAACATATCAACGCCTCAATAAAATCAGAATCCGTTCTCATAGTCCTTATACTGTTTCCTATGTTCAATTATACCGTCTTCCTGTGTTCAGTTGCACTGTTTAGCCGAACGCTTGTTCATAGAGCCACGTCTTGACCTTCCTCCGGAACGCCAGCAACGAAGGGGCCTGTCTGATGTCTACAGGGAGGGCATTCCATAGCCGAGGGGCCACCACCGAGAAGGCCCTGTCCCTCGTCCCCGCCAGACGCGCTTGTGACGCAGGCGGGACCGAGAGCAGGGCCTCCCCAGACGATCTTATCAGAAAGCCCCGGTGAAGAACAAGATTGGTATTAACTGCCATGAAGTCAACTTCAACTTATGAATAAGAGACCTCCAAGCCATCCTATATTCAAAAACAAATGCTATGGAGTCAGGATGGTGGCTTCCTTAATTGAGTCTGTCCATCTGGAGTGTGGTCCTCCTGCTATCTTCTACTTTCCCAAGCGTTATTATTTTTTCTAATGAGCCATGTTGTCTCATGATGTACTCAATGCACAGGTTAAGTCATCATGGGCTTGATTTCCTTGTGGACCCATTTATTTTGGCAGTCAGTGGTACTGAAGCTTGTGCGCCTGTACCTTGGGAAGTCTGACCTGGCCGCGGTAGTCCATGCTCTTGTTACATCCCAAATAAATTACTGCAACACGCTCTACATGGAGTTGCCTTTGAAGACTGTTCAGAAGCTTCAAATGGTCCAACGGTTGGCAGCTAGGTTTCTCACTGGAACGGAATATAGGTGCACACAACCCCCCCTCTTACGCCAGCTCCACTAGTTGCCAGTCTGCTACCAAACACAATTCAAAGTGCTGGCTTTAGCCTGTCTGAACATATCTCTCTCTATGAACCATCAAGGAGGTTAAGATCTTCTGGGGAGGCCCTGCTCTCGGTCCCACCTGAATCGCAAATGCGGTTGGTGGGGATGAGAGACAGGGCCTTTTCACTGGTGGCTCCTCGGCTCTGGAACTCTCTCTGTAGTGAGATTAGATCAGCACCCTCCCTCCTGACCTTTACAAAGAGAACAAAGATATGGTTATGGATCCAAGCTTTTGAGTAGTAAAGTAAGACAGTACAAGAAGCAAATATGGAATATGTACAATCGACATTTGGAATAGCTTGGTCTACGTGTTTGGATCATGTGATTTTAATGTTTTTATTAGGTGTTTTAATTCTTATATTTCATGTTTTAAATGTCCTTTTATTTTATCTTATGGTGAATTGCCCTATAGATTTTATGCTTACTTAGTTAGATGGTGCTGATTTGTGATTTGGTTTATGTATGTAAGACACTGAATTTTGTCATTATTTTTGTGTAAACCACTTGGAGTCCCCCCAGGGGTGAGAAAAGTTGTATATAAATACTGTAAATAAATAAAAATCTGCAGAACTCTCCTCCAGCACCACATTTCAAACGAGTTTGTTTCCTTCTTACCTTTTTTTCTCTCACGGCAGATATAGTTTTACAAAAATAATGATATTTAGGTGGGAGGCAGAAAGTCCCACAATGGCAGACTATCAAGAGCATTTGTTTACAAGAAGCAAAGATGCATTTGACCTGCGAAAGCCCTGCTGATGGCACACTGAGGGCTTACAGAGAGGACCAGTAAACCAGTGGCATTGTGGCAGGATAATGGAAGATAATGTTTAGTTTACTAAACCCTTCCTGCAGTGATGATAACATAAGATAGAAAGAGAATTCATCCTCTCCCAGTGGGCAAATCTACATCTAGGAAGATTTTATTTAAAAAAAAATATATGAAAGAGATCTTCTTTGAAAATGAACCTTTTCAATCTGAATACAGGCACAGTCTCTATGGAAACTCTACAAGGCCATTTCCACAGCATGTTGAACTTCCTACCCATAGCAAGGAGGGAGGGAGATGGGGAAAGAAGGAAGCTGAAAGACCCCCTTGAAGAAACAGAAATGGAAGAAGAACTATAGGTTAACCCACCCCATGGATAAGAAAATGCAAAATGCCAGGCATCATGCTGTCAATAACAGTAGCTACCATCCACTTCCTTTGCCAAGTTCTCCCACCTACATGAATGCAGATGACAAAGGGGCTTGTGGGTAAAGAGCACTCTCCTGCTTTGCAGTAGCACATGGAACATGTCATCTCTCGACGCCTACATCATCCATGGCCCTGCCTCTATGTGCGTCAGCAGTTGCAGCATCCTGCATCTCTCATACACCTCGTGCATTTGATGAGCAGGTCTCTTGCTCAGGAAAATTGTCATACTCAAACAGATTATAGCAAACATCACTGAAATTGGCAATAGTCAGCCTCCCTTAAGATAAATTCTGCCTTTGTTGTTAACTGTCTTCACATTAACTTTGAGTGATGGCAATCCTATAAATGAGAGTCATGTTGTCCCCAACAATCCTGCTCAGGTCCTACAGATTGTCTGGAATGTAAATGTTTTCTCCTGTCCTCTACCAAGCATTATCATGTTTTCCTAGTAAAACTTCTCTTCTCATGATATGGCCGAAGTATGATAGCCTTAGTTTAGTCATTTTGGCTTCTAGGGAGAGTTCAGGACTGATCTGTTCTAGGATCCATTGTAGTCCATGGTATCTTCAGAACCTCAGGGGGAAATGATGTGTAGGAATTTGCTAGATTTTCCAAGTGATTCTATGATCTTCTTCCAGACAGTGCCATAAATTTGCATTGGAGGACAAAGCAAATACAGTAGACTTTCACTTAACTCATGGGCATGGGTAAATACCGGATCAATGAAGTTTCTTCTTGTTTGAGAGCTTTTATTTAAAAATAGGCTTTTAAATAATACAATATCCCATACTATAACATACCATACACTCTCTATTGACATATTAATATTGAAATACAATAATTAAAAGCAAATTAAGGCTAGCAAAGACAAACATAGCTTCATATAACATAGTTTTACTGTAGTATAAAAACAGCTTTTTTATTTCAGGTGTATTTATTTATTCTTTGTTATATTTTTATTTATTTATTTACAGCAGGGGTCCTCAAACCTTTTAAACAGAGGGCCTGGTCACAGACCCTCAAACTGTTGGAGGGCTGAATTCTATTTTGAAAAAAAAAATTGAATGAATTCTTATGCACACTGCACATATCTTATTTGTAGTACAAAAAAACCCACTTAAATACAATAATTAAAATGAATAACAATTTTAACAAATATAAACTTATTGCTATTTGAATGGGAAATGTGGGCCTGCTTTTGGATGATGAGATAGGATTGTTGTTGTTGTTGTTGTGTGCTTTCAAGTAATTTCAGACTTAGGTTGACCCTGAGCAAGGGCTGGGTAAATGACCTTGGAGGGCCATGTCCGGCTCCCGGGCCTTAGTTTGAGGACCCCTGATTTACAGCATTTATATTCCACTTTTCTCACCCCGAAGGGGACTCAGGGTGGATCACAGAACAAATATACAGCAGACATTCAATGCCCTTAGATATACAGGGCAGACAGACAGAGGTATGTCTTGGCATTTTTCCAGCTTTGGCATCCTGGAGGTTATGCTCGATTCCAGCCACAGGTGATGCTGTCACTCCATCCTCTATGACGACGAGCCTTTTGATCACAGACTTTACTCCTGTTCTTTGATTGTCAGCATTTTTATGGTGCCGTAAACTTTACTCCTAAGCAGTGCCTAATTTCTCTACTCACAGCTCACAGCTGTTTTTGGACTGCTTAAGTGGACAGTAAGCCAGGCTGAAGGTTGGGTGCTCACTCCGACCCAGGCTAGAACTGCCAACCTTTTGGTTGGGAAAGATCTATTGCTGCTGCTGATTAACCAGCTGTGCCAGTTGTTTGAGAATCTACTATATCATCTCTAGATCCTCCAGTGAAACTCTATGGAATGCTGGGATTGGAATTAAAATAATTTAATGGTATTCAGTCATATAGGTGGTTTTAGGTAATCACAGTCCAGCTAAGAACATATTCCTGTTCTTGTTGTCATTGCTATTTGCTTTGCAATTTCACAGGGCTATGCTAATGTAGCATTACATCATGAGGCTTTCCAAACAATCATTGACAACAAACAGCAGCAGATTGGATTTAGAGTGTGACCAAGTATATTAACAGTATATACATGTCAAGCAGATCTCTCTACCCATAAGTCATGTGTCTGAATCAACCACCTCATTCTGCCTCGGGGAACCCTGTAATATCACTTGAATATCAAATACAAGTAATATCACTTGTAATATCAAATTCTGTGTGGAATTTAAATAAAAGAAGGACAGATGTTATGAGCATTGGAGAAAGGGAGTTGTTTCTTTCTTCGGTCCTAAGTAAATTATTAATCAGTAGTTATTGGAATTTCCCCAGGAGAACCTTTGTACTCATAATCCCTACCTCTATTTGCTGTTGCAGAACTAGAAACAGAAAGTGAAATCAGAGCATTTTCCTCTTTTGTCTCTTTATTCTGCAAACAATAACAAGAAGTTTCAGCTTTCTCCTAATATGATTTAACTGCGACTGCTACACTTCTCAAAAGCTTCAGTAATGCTTTCTAAAAGACAGAGAAAATGTGATCTTATCCTTCTGCATTTACGGAGGGGTGTGTCTTAAGGAGTGTTCGTGAAATCACCAGTTAAATCCAGGTAAGTCTCTCCAAAATTTGATCTAAGGGCACAAAATGATATTTATTTGACTAAACTTCCCTTTGTGAGGAGATATACCATTATAACCCTTGGTTATGCTAGGGTCATCAGTGGACCATGACTCATTTTTCCAGTGTTGCTTAAGGAATTATTTAGTACTTCCTTGTACACTACAGTTTTTACTGGACTGTGCAGTGTCAGCTAGAGAATACCCAGATACAGCTCTGCCTCCTGACCCAAACAACTACTGACTGGTTATTGGGGTGGATCTGGAAAACCCCCAAACTAACACCTCTCTCTCTAATAGTCACTGAACTCCAGGATTTCTGTACAAACATTCTGGTGGAAATTTATTATCTACTAGTGTCAAATAGGATCTTGACTTTGCTGTTGTTGTTGTTGTTGTCGTTGTCGTTGATGATGATGAAGTGAACTAGACCAGAGCTTCTTAACCTCCTTCAACTTGCAACTCCTTTTTGCCTTGGAGATGTTTATGCGACCCCAGGTATATAAAGGATGGAAGGGAGGGCAGAGAGACACTCGTGTACACATGCAGAAGAAGAGGGTAGCAGGGAGATACACACAGGAGAGAGCAGAAGGTGGGGAGACTGGTACCTGGAGTAAAAAAAGGAAAGGTGACTCCAACATACAGCTGTGGCAATCATATTTGGGGTTTAAGAAGTTCGAATCTAGGCATCACTAAATCCTCCAGTGCAACTCTTCCCACAGAAGCAAACTGTAGAATCACCTGGAGGATATAGTAAAATGCCTAGGGAGGATACATTTTGTCAGACGCGGGTATATGAAGCCCCAGGTCTCAGTACCATGGATATGGAGGTTGTGTTGTACATGATCTTGAAGCAGATGTAACAATCTTGATCCCATGTCCATGACTAAGTGACAAGGAATGATAACCAGGGCTCTTGGAGGTTTTGCATTCATAGGGTTGCCACTCGTTAAAATGGATTTGGTAGTAAATAACAATGGACCACAGGATAATGCTTTCCACTCCTTCATTTAGCCTGTTCTTCTTATACACTCTCATATACTAAACTCATTTTCTGGATGTGTGGTCAAGTTACAAAGAAATCAAGATGTGTTGTGACCATTAATTTGAAAGCAAGGGTTACATTGAGACAAAGAACCAGGATTTAAAATGACCATTAATGTGAAAGCAAATAAATGTATAACTTTATTATATATGCGTAAAACCCTTGTATTGAGCGAAATAAACACCATCTCAAAGGAGAAATCATCACCCATGGATGCATGGATACACTGTCTAATATTTCCTAAATGGAGTCTGTGTTTTATTGAGAATGGAAATGCTCTTGCCTCACTATATTTTCTTTCACTTCCTTATATTCCTCTTTCCCATCTCCACCCTTCCAAATGTACTTTACAAGCAGGAGGGCTTTAAAAGTAGTAGTTTTGCTCCTTTTCCCTTCTTTTCCTGTGGTCAGTTTTGTGACTATAGTTGCTAATTTTTTTCTGGCAAGACTTCTGTGCCTCTAACAGCTGTTGGACTTGCAGATATTTAGGGGTAGAGCTTTTCTTGGCAGCAATGAATGGCACTGGCAGTTGGGAAGCTTCCTCTTTTGGATTCCTACTGTCATGGCACTGTTGAAAGCACAGATAACCTGCCAGGAAAATGTTGGGAATGGTACTGACAACTGGAGGATAAAGTAGCAGGGTGAGCAGATGGAGGTTTTTTTAAAAGAGTGAGTTTTGCATACTTTTTTTTACAAGAAACGTCAGTAGGTACAGATCTGTATCACCTTCCTAAACATTAGGAAGAACCCTTTTATGGTAAGAACTGTTTGACAATACGATTCAGAGGCAGTAGACTCACTCTCGGGTGGTCTTGAACAAAGATTGAACAATCTTTGAACAAAGATTGAAAAGACAATGTCATTAAAAACACACAAAAGGAAAACACGGTATTAAAATAGAATTCAACTACCATATATCCTCATGTATAAGTCTAGGGAAAGTGGTGACTAAAATGATGGATTTTGATATGACCATGGTACTTCTTGTAGGTTTTCCCAGGTTGGACTAGAGTCCCACCTTTTGCCATTCTATTTAGAACAGTGGTTCCCAACCTGAGGTCCGTGGACCATCAGTAGTACACAAGAAAGGAAATATTGTCCACAGCCTCACCATTACTACACCGTTGCATCGAAACCACTTGGCAATGAGAACAAGTGGTCTTGCGAAACCCTCTAGTGCCAAGCTGGCAGGGATGTCAGGAGGGGAGAGGCTGACTACCCATGAAAGATAACTACTACCACATCAGCTCTAGATTACTAAATATGGTTTTCTGTGGGTGAGCAGATGGTGACAACTGGATGGCATATGTTCTTTATCAGAAACTAAAGCTGATGTGGTCTATCCAATACAATTTTCTGAATCAGTACCCCTAATAACCAAACCAAATCTAAAGTTGACCAAAAACTGATTTCTAACCCTTTTGGTATTAATGTTAGAGAGTTGTCCCTGGTCAAGTGGTCCCTGGTCAAAAAAAGATTGGGAGCCACTGATTTAGAATAAGAAGTGGGTTTTTTTTTTAAAAGAAATAAGATCTTGACACATACTTATATTGATCTAAAGATAGGTTGACCTATTGGGGTCTTTTTTTATTAAAATTTCTACAGCTATCTATGAGTATCTAAGTAATGTTATTTGTAAGATAATTCAATTGAAATACAATTACGTGGTCCCTTCCAACTCTAAGGCCTTGCTTGCAATGCCTGCTTCTGCAAAATTATTTAAAACGTGGGAGCCTCCTCTGCCTTTGCATACATGGCTGGTCCAGCAAACATTGCCTTCTGAACATCAATGGCAATATATGTTTTCAATCTACAGAGTGGTAACCATGGCAATTCAAGCATGAATGCCTCAATAAAACTCAATTCCGGAAAGCAATAGAGTAACACCTGTGGACTCTCTTTAACCCAAGCAGAGTTTGCAAATGAAGGCTTGTATTATGAGGTCAGGCGCAAGTACTGATTCGACCCGAGAGAACAAAGGAGGTGGTACAAATCTATCCTGGACTTGCCTTAACCTGCTTGATACCCTGGAAGATTTTCTATCATCATCCCCACTCAAGAAATTGACAGAGACGAAGGGAGTCTTATTGCCTGTCATTTCATAGAGTGGAAAGTGAAAGTCATAATCCTTTCCATCCTTTAAGGAAAAAAAAACCTGGGTTTCTTATTTAAGGAGGGTTTTTTTTAAAAAAAAAATCCCCATTATGTTCTGTATCCAGGCAAAATTATAAAATTCAATAAAAAATATAAAATAAAATGAAGTATTTTCTAAATCTGCACTCTATTTTAAGATATACCTTATGAGAGAAATGTAAAGGAAAATAGCTATTTTTATACTCATCAGTTTTAAACATTAACAAAAATATAAATAACCCCCAGTTTTTCCTTATGGTATCTTTTTTGTCTATCCACATGTTTATTTATTTATTTATTTCTCGCACTTCTATCCCGCTTTTCTCAACCCACGAGGGGGAACTCAGGGCAGCTTACAAAAAGGCACAATTCGATGCCGGCACAACAACAAGGTAAAAGAATAAAACATATAAGCAGTAATTAAACAATTAGGCAGTTGAGACAATTAAAACAATCCATTCTGTTTCATTCAAACAGAATAAAAAAACTGTTAACTCAGCCTTCACATGTTGGGCCCTTCCTATCAGTCTTTTACAGAAGGGTACTCACCAGTAATACATACCTTGAGACATTTCACAGGTGAAAACTGGGTGGGAAATGGAAAGAAGATAGAAACTGAGATTTTAAAGGCAAATGTCTCCTCTCTGTCTTTTCTGTACTTTCCCATTCCTAATTTTTGCCAACTTGACTACAATCTGATTTTGTTTGGCCACATGTCCCAGTTTTTGTCTGTAAAACCTTGGGAAGTATGCTGATACATTGGCTAAGAAATGCCATACATTGCACAAGATTCTAGAACCTGTTATACAACAGGAGTTCTCAAACTTTTTTAGCCCCAAGAAGCAAAAGATTTTTGTGGAGCCCCAAGAAATGTTTATATATTATATGCATTCAGTCCAAACTTTTTCTGCCATGCAGGAAAAGCACAATTGAAGTACCCCCAATAGATGTCTCCAGCTTCTGGCATGCAGGAAAAGCAGAAAGCACCATAATAATAATAATAATAATAATAATAATAATAATAATAATAATAATAATAATAGCAGAAGCCTGGGGAACATTAAGTTCACTCCCTTTTGACATGCATGAACACAATAAAAGCATCCTTTGAGAGCTGGGAGGGAAATAGGATTTTGGAAGCAAGGAAGGCAAGGGGAAAGGATCTGGGTGGTAAGGGAGGCGGGAGGGAAAGCTTTTGGGTTAGAGGGAGGCGGAGGAAGGAGGAGAAGCAGGAAAGAGGACGGAAATCTTGTAGGGGGGAGGAAGAAGGGGGAGTGAACCACAGAGCCCCTCAGTATGCTTTGCAGAGCCCCAAGGACTCCACGGAGCCCACTTTGAGAACTGCTGCTGTACAGTATATTCCATATCCAGGGGAGATATGTTTCCAGACTTTGTGTGGGCATGCAAAACCACAGATAATAATGGAGCCTATTGAAATGAAGGACTTCTGGCTCAATAGTATCATACAGTCATGCTGGAGATAGTAGAAAATGCCTGGAGAAATCCTATTTTGTCAGATGTGGAGAAATAAAATACTGGACACCAGGCCAGTGAATATGGAAATCATATTGTATTTCTTGGTTTGTGCAGAACGGTTCATGCAGTTTTATTGAGTGGTTCTTTTGGCCTCATAGTCTTTAACATTCACAGGTGAAAACTAGGGTACATTTCACCAAGCAATATCAGAGTGTGGTCAAGATGGCAGAAACTAGTAATGAGGGAAAACACACCATATTGGAGAGGCTGCATCCATTTGATTTTGCTTACAAAGGGCAAGAGTCCACCCTCTTCTCTTCTAACCTGTTGAGTTAATTGAGTTCAAACTACTTTTGCTCTTTGAACTCTGTTCACACCAATTAAAGCTGACATTTGTAAAGCAGCTGAAAAAGTGGGACAATAGAGGATAAATAAGGACCTTCCCTGCCAAATCAGAACAATTGGAGGTTATGTAATGCCCTGCTTCTTAAACTATGGGTCTTGACCCCAAATGGGATCCCCTTAGCTCAATGTTGGGGTTACGAAAAAATTGGCAACAGTAAAAGGTTGCCACCCATTTACACAAATTTGTTAGCAGCAATGTGTAGTATTCACAGTGGAGTCTACAGAAAAATGCTTCAACTGTACTCCAAAAGAAGGAAAATCGGCCTGCTTAGCAAACCTTTCAAATGCTGATTTATTTTCTGTAAATGTTTGATTTTTGTGCTTATTCTGTATACCTATATACCTGGGTCATGTAAAAAATTCTCGATTAAATAAGGGTTGTGAGCAAAAAAATGTTGAAGAAGCTCTGCTGCAATGAATGACTGTCAATGATGAGTAATTAGTCTTCAAGCCAAGCCATCTTAAGGAATGCAAGGGCAGAGGAGGGGTACAATATCAAGCTGGCCATACAAGGGCTGCCGAGACTGTAAGCTTCAAAAGGCAATGGTTGCACATTAGAAAGTTCCAGCTACTGACCTCAAAGGCAAGTGTGGCTTCCAGATCACACTTTTATTTATTTATTATTTGTAGTATTTCTATCCCGTCCTTCTCAACCCCAGAAGGGGAACTCAGGACAGCCTACACTCGGCAACAATTTGAGGCCATACATATAAGCAAACAATAATATAGCAACAGTTTAAAATAATAGATAAATTTATTGTCGAAGGCTTTCATGGCTGGAATCACTAGGTTCTTGTGGGTTTTTTCGGGCTATAGAGCCATGTTCTAGAGGCATTTCTCCTGACGTTTCGCCTGCATCTATGGCAAGCATCCTCAGAGGTAGTGAGGTCTGTTGGAAGTAGGAAAATGGGTTTATATATCTGTGGAATGGCTGGGGTGGGGCAAGGAGCTCTTCCCTGCTGCAGTTAGGTGTGAATGTTTAGCTGATCACCTTCATTAGCATTTGAAGGCCTGCCTGAGTCTGGGGAAATCTGTTGCTGGGAGGTGTTCTGTGCCTGGTTATTTCCTCTCTGTTGTTTTGCTGTTATAATTTTAGAGTTTTTTAATACTGGTAGCCAGATTTTGTTCATTTTCATGGTCTCTTCCTTTCTGTTGAAATTGTCCACATGCTTGTGGATTTCAATGGCTTCTCTGTGTAGTCTGACATGGTGGTTGTTGGTGTGGTCCAGCATTTCTGTGTTCTCAAATAATATGCTGTGTCCAGGCTGGTTCATCAGGTGCTCCGCTATGGCTGACTTCTCTGGTTGAAGTAGTCTGCAGTGCCTTTCATGTTCCTTGATGCGTGTCTGGGCGCTGCGTTTGGTGGTCCCTATGTAGACTTGTCCACAGCTGCATGGTATACGGCTGTGGACAAGTCTACAGAGGGACCACCAAACACAGCATTGCCCAAACACAAATCAAGGAACATAGAAGGCACTGCAGACTGATTTAACCAGAGAAGTCAGCCATAGCAGAGCACCTGGTGAACCAACCTGGACACAGCATATTATTTGAGAACACAGAAATGCTGGACCACTCTCACAACCACCATGTCAGACTACACAGAGAAGCCATTGAAATCCACAAGCATGTGGACAATTTCAACAGAAAGGAAGAGACCATGAAAATGAACAAAATCTGGCTACCAGTATTAAAAAACTCTAAAATTATAACAGCTAAACAACAGAGAGGAAAAAACCATGCACAGATTAACACCTCCCAGCAACAGATTTTCCCAGGCTCAGGCAGGCCTTCAAATGCTAATGAAGGTGATCAGCTAAACATTCACACCTAACTGCAGCAGGGAAGAGCTCCTTGCCCCACCCCAGCCATTCCACAGATATATAAACCCATTTTTCCTACTTCCAACAGACCTCACACCTCTGAGGATGCTTGCCATAGATGCAGGCGAAACGTCAGGAGAAATGCCTCTAGAACATGGCTCTATAGCCCAAAAAAACCCACAAGAACCTAATAGATAAATTGTTAAGTTAAAAGCAGTTAAAAGCATTTTGTCAAAGCTGTAATGCCATTCCAATTCAATTCCATAACCAAAGTGCTGCTACGTCCAAAGGCCTGGTTTCATACTTTGAGTCAGTTGTGTTTAGCAAATGCATCTCCAATTTTTATCTGAATCCCTCCTCCCACAATTAAGAGAAGAAAAAAGAACTGTGCGATTGGGATTTTGGGGTGTGGAGATTGATGTAATATTTTAATGTTTATAGATTTTAATGACACAAATGGTTCAACTGTTTTTTTAAAAGAGTTTGATGTATTTTTAATTTGTTTTAATATGAATTGTTTTATGTTTGTTGCCATCTACTTTGGGTTCCCATATCAGGAGAAAGGCGAGTTAACAATAAAGTTAATAATAATAAATGTGTAATATGATATAATAGGAGCCCCCGGTGGTGCAGTGGGTTAAACCGCTGAGCTGCTGAACTTGCTGACTGAAAGGTCAGCGGTTTGAATCCAGGGAGTGTTATGCGCTCTCGCTGTTAGGCCAAGCTTCTGCCAACCTAGCAGTTCAAAAACATGCAAATGTTAGTAGATCAATAGGTACCGCTCTGGTGGGAAAGTAATGGTGCTCCATGTAGTCATGCCAGCCACATGACCTTGGAGGTGTCTATGGACAACACCGGCTCTTCAGCTTAGAAATGGAGATGAGCACCAACCTCCAAAGTTGGACACAGCTGGACTTAATGTCTAACCTGTTTTTTAAGGGATCAGCAACCCCAGTTTGGTTCTAACCCTTTACAAAGGAAAAATAAAAATAAAGCTACTGAGGAGTATGCAACTTCTGCTTAATCCAAGATGCTCAAAAAACTGTCTTGGGAACAATAAATTCACACAGTTGCCTTTTTCTTTGTATTTTAGGTCTGCTTTCAGTATGTTTTTGAGTCTCCTTGTTATTGTTATGCTCTTCAATCTCACCCTCTATAACATTACATTTCATAACTTTGATTTCTCCCCCAATAACTGCAGTGACTACTTCCGTGTTGTCATTTGTGAAGGTAAACTGGATGAAAATAAAATAGAAATGGAAGTGATTGACGAGAAAACAAAGTTGTCATCAGAGCCAGAATTTCCAGCAAAACACAATCAAAGTGAAGATGGTTGCGGTCTTCCCCCAAATTCTCAACCTTTCAACATCCAAGGGACAAATGAGTCAAAAACACTCACCAGGACCCTCAAATTCATGCTGAGCTTCAGAAAGGGTGTGGTAACATCTGTCAAGGAGAACTCAACTGAAACTAAGATGGGTGAAAAGAAGAAAGAAGCAGAAGGGAAAACTGAGTTATTGTTGGCTTCATCGTTGACAGCAAAATGTATGGAGGGAGAAGATAGTAGTGATAATATTAAAACTTCTCTGTCTTTTCAAAATGAAGAGGAAAATGAGCCAGAAACATTGTCCAAGGATCACAGTCTAATTTTCAACTTCAGGGAGACTATACTATCATCTTCCAAAGATGAGTTGGTTAAAGTGGAGATGGATGAGAATAAGACAGAAATAATGGGAAACAACGGGAAAACAGAGCTGCCATCAGAACAAGAACTTCTGGTGAAATGCAAGCAGAGTGAGAATGACAATTGTCTTCCTACAACTTCTCCACCCTTGAACAATCTGTCAGATACTGAATCCAAAACTGTCATCTACAGCCTTCCAAGAAGGCATACCTTTATGACTTGGTGGCCTGGCACAGGGAAAACACCAGCTACAACTGCATCAAAATTCAATAAACGTTTTTCATTGAGAGGAAAAGATAATGGCCAGGCCAAGAAAGCAAGCAACAGCCATCCCAAAAAGAATGAGGAGCTTGAAGGAGAAGGTGTTTTGAGGGAACCACTGTCTGGTAAGAAACTAATGTTTCTTTTAGCTATTGGTTAGGTTGTTATGAGATACATGAGAAAACATAGATGCTGGAACAGCAACTTTGAGTAAGCATTCTTTTGTGAGTACAGGTTGAGTACTTATTAGAATTAAAAGTGTTTTGGATTTCTGATATTTCCAGATTTTGGCATACATGTATTTGCATATACATATGGCATATAATAAGATATCTTGGAAACAACCCAAGTATAAACTCATAATTCATTTACGTTTTGTGTATACCTCATACATATAGACTGATGGTAATTTTATATTTTGTTTTTTAAAGATATGCATGACACAACATTTGTGTACACTGAACCATCACAAAGCAAAGGTATCACTATCTCATCAATCCATGTTGATAATTTTGGATTTTGGAGTATTTCAGATTTTGGAATTCTGGATAAGGGATGCACAATCTGTATAATAAAGCATGCTATATTTACCATAACAGGACAAACCTGTGAAACTGGGTTGAGCAATATTTCCATCATTCTAGATAACAGCAACACTATAAATCAAGTCAACAGTACGTTTATGGGACATTACTGCTGAATGTTGCAGAGAGGCCTTTTTCGGGGTGATGGTACCTTGCGTGGATTGAGTGATGTCCTTCAGCGAATAACAAAACATTCATCAAACCATTCTTTTGTTTACAGCTGGAATATGGTTGGCTTTACCACATGGGTTCTGGATCCAGGCATCAACCAACCTGCCTGTTGATCAACGGGACCACAAAGATCCAAGCCAGAGCCTTGGGATGACAATGGAAGCTACAGTTTGAGAGACAAGCCCCCTATTATATGGCCTTCGTTGCCACAAGGAGATGCCATAAAGTAGTCTGGCAACCTAAGCTGTCTTCACTGTATATCCCCTGAGTCCCCCACCAAAGATGCCACTTATTTCCCTCAGGCATAGCAGTTCCACTTCCTTGATCCAGAACCATGCCAACCACCCTCTAAGATGTGATATAATGGTAAAACATACTACATAGGGTAGATAGAAATCAAAGGCCCTGCAGAGAAAACAGCAGAGGGTTAAATAATCTGAAGGCTGACTTATTGAGATGTTTTCACTCAGGTCAGCCTCCCCCTTCCCCAGAACAATGGCACCTAACCCCAGTTGCTTGATCTCATTGACTGCTGCCAATAACTTCCATGCCAGCTGCTGCCACTTGAACCAAATTGTTTTCAGGCTGTGCACATGGCCAGCCCCAACTCCATTCCCCCATCTGCCCCACAAAATGCCTCAAATGGTAAGTTGAGATGTCTGTTAGGAGGAGCAGAGTGATGTCTATCAGATAGCAAAACACACAACATTTCACCTTTGCACATCTGGTTGAGTATTGTTGCAATTCACAAATGCACTAATGTATAAATATGTGAGAGAAAGTCATAGGGAGGAGGGAGCAAACTTGTTTTCTGCTGCCCTGGAGACTAGGATGCGGAACAATGGCTTCAAACTACAAAAAAGGAGTTTCCATGTGAACATTAGGATGAATTTCCTAACTGTGAGACTCTCTGCCCCAGAGTGTGATGGAGGCTCCTTCTTTGGAAGCTTTTAAACAGAGGCTGGATGGCCATCTGTCAGGGGTGCTTTGAATGCGATTTTCCTGCTTCTTGGCAGGGGGTTGGACTGGATGGCCCATGAGGTCTCTTCCAACTCTATGATTCTATGATTCTAATGTCATGTACTTCTATGAATATTCCAGCTTCTGGACGTTGCATTTTAGCAAACACGTTAGAGAGGAAATCCAACCCTCTTTTATTTCTCTCTATGTGAAAGGAAGATGCTAAGGAATATTTTCCAAAACAGGCATACAGCCAGCATAACAGGAGGTAGATATATATCTTTTCTTATGAAAATTAGAAGAATAGTCATCACTGTTTGTATCTGCATCACATTATCTCAATGCTAAAAGCTCATATATCTTTGTGCATGCATATTAATAGTCACATTCTATAATAATCATGGGGAATGGCCATAGATTAACATCTCTTCCCTGGGCATGCATTTTAGCATTATAATAAGCTCTAGGTTACTCTAGTTCAAAAACTATCTGCTTATTGGCTGCATTGTCATTGTTTGGTTCTCCATTCTTATTTCCTGTCTGGTACCGTTAATGGTTTAATTTACTGATGTTAGGCTTTAATTTGATATTAAGTTTTAATATTATTTTCATATGCAGGGTTTATCTGGGATTTTATGTCACTATTTGTTTGTTTTACGAAAGCATTTAATGTTTGCCGTTGTTATGTTGGAATCTGCCCTGAGTCCCCTCGGGGAGATAGGGTGGAATACAAATAAATTATTATTATTATTATTATTATTATTATTATTATTATTATTATTAACACCTGATTTCTGTTTATATGTTCCATTACTTGTCAAAGAAGACACAACCCAAGAGCCATCTAAGGCACTTTCCAAAAGAAAACAGCTCAAGTTCATTGCTTTAGTCTTTGAAAATGAACTTTTATTTCTCTTCTTATGGTGTCCCCAGTCTTTTGTTATCTGAACGAACGTGATACCATTCCAAGTGTTTTATGTTCTCATGCTTCTTTTCTCTCTGACCCCCTCTTGTTTTCTTAGTGCTGGAAATACTTGGAATTATCCAGGAAAATCAGCTTTTGGAGGCTTTTAAAAATATCAAAGTTTTGGAAATACAACTCCTGTCTGAAAGAGATGCCAAGAAATGTGAAGATGTCTCCAAAGAAGACACCAGAAGAGCGAAAGATGTTAATTTACTCTATGATTCCCTCTCTAAAAAAATCCAACAGATTGTGGAAAAAACATTGGACCTTCCCAGTGTGGAGATGAAGAAATTAATCCCAGAGATGGTGGCTTTAATTGAAGAGGAGGAAAAGATTCATGCTGGGGCGATAACTATCCCTATGCCTCTTGACCCTGTGAAGCAACTTGGGTTAGCCAGAAATTGGAGAAAGCTTTGGGAAAGAGCCATTAAAGACAGTGTGAAAACGAGAATCCATAAAGTACCCATCCCACTGAAAGAAGACAATCCATCTTGGCTGTCTGTATATTTAGGTTTTCTCAAAACAGTCATAAGAGATGACTTGTTAAATATCAAGCACTACATACAAAAATTCTATCCACGTGATTACCATGTATGTGATACATACCTGAAAGTTTTCCATGAAACTCTCTCTTTGTGCTTACAAAGCATTCTGGAAAAGGAAGCGAGCTGCCTAGAGTTCAGGCAATTCCATGCTTTACTCAATTGGGTCATTCACGTATACTACAGGTTAGTTTTCTAGTCTTTAAACTCTTTAGCTCTCTGCAATCATTCTATGTTTGGAAAAGCTAGTTTAAGGTGAACCAAGCTAGATGTATCCCTCTCTATTGCTGTTCTTCTACAAGAGTGTTGCTATTGGGGGACGAGGAGAAGCAAAATTGGGCATTTGCTCCTCAAAATGAGAATTCTCCTCCCCCTTGAAAATATCTTTCAGACAATGAAAATCATTCCCTTCTAGAACTCAGACATTTGAAGTGATTGCATTCCCTCGGTCACTTTGTTTGTGCCTTGGATATCTAAAGTACCACATTTAATTGATTCTAAGACTCACAATGATTTCAATACTTCTAGCAGAATATGTGTGTGTGTGTGTGCCTACAATTCTAAGATGCACTCTGTTTTTTGAAATGCGTATAAAGGAAAAAGTACACTTTAGAAACAATGAAATACACCATATGGTCTACAGAAGTTCTAGGTTGTTGCATTGCTAGAAATTTAGAAACTGAAGGAAAGTTCATTTGTGGGGGGCACAAACCACACTGGGAGGAAATGTTCTCAAACCCCCCCCCCCCCCCCATTCTTGTAGCTTCCCTCCTGGTACACCTTCTACCCATAGATGTTAATGAGAAATGTATTTACTCTGCATCCTTACAAAAGTTCAATGCTACTTCAACTGCTAAGATGACATGCTATGAAGTCTTGAAATTCTGAAGTTTCATGAGGTAGTTAGGTTTAACTTTGCTAGAGGTCTAATCCTCTTCCTTGAACTAAAGCAGTAGAGCTCACTAGTATTGAAGTCATTTCATCAATCTACTATCCTGGGAATCTGTAGGATGAAGTTGTGCTAGTTGAACTGGAAGCAAAAGGCTATAACTGTGCAGCGTTGATACATTCTGGTCTGAATCCTATTGGTTTGTTTCAACTAGAATTCCATTGGCTGGATTGGTGTCAATACTGGGTCAGAATCCTGTTTTTCCAGGATTATTCCCATGTCAATAGGTCAATGAATCTGAGCATTACTCAGGCATTACTTTCTGGACAGCTATCCACCAAGAATGATGTAGTGGCTTTTCTTTTTGCTGGTGGCTATCTATATAAGTGATCACTTGTGGCAGAGTATAATTGTCTTCTAAGGATAGAATCTTGGGAATGGTTCTGTAATTGTCTATAGAGACCTGTTTGGATCCACATGGTCTTCACAATGAGGTGATAGATTTTCAGATGGAAGGCGATCACAGTAAGGGTTTGCTTGATGCTCCTTTCTCTCTGCATGTTTCTTCTTTTTGTCCTCTATTTGTGCCTCTTCAAAATCCATAGCACATTTGGTAGCAGCTGACCTCCAGTTAGAATGCTGGAATGCCAGGGCTTCCTAGTTCTTGATGTTTATACTACATTTTAAAGCTTTAAGCCCATCTTTAAATCTCTTTTGCTGTCTACTAACATTCTGTTTTTAATTCTTGAGTTGAGAATAAAGCAACTGCTTTGGGAGATGGTGATTTGGCTTTCAGACAACATGGCAAGTCCAGAGAAGTTGATGGTGGAGAATATTGCTTCAGTGCTGGTGGTCTTTGCATCTTCCAGAATGCAGACTTTTGTCCACTTGTTGCCTCAAGAGATTTGCAGGATTTTTTTTGAAAGCAACACTGATGGAATCTTTCCAGAAATCAAGAGGGATGTTTGTGGATGGTCCAAGTTTTGCAGGCATACAATAGTTGGGAGGACAATAGCTTTATAAACAAGGATCTTAATATTCTTGCAAAAAGCTGACCGTTGTGTGAATTATGCAGAAGTATGTGTGTGAGCATGAGAGAACTTCTTGCTCAACTACCATGGCTTCTGTGCTCCAGATATTCATTCTTGTCTTATATTTGTCATGAATGTCTGCAGTAGGGACTTGTGTGAATCCATATTTATATATGTGTTTTCAAGTTCCTTATTGACTCATTGCAACTCCATGAAATCCATACAATCTTCTTAGGCAAGTAATAATCAGAGGTCATTTTGCCAGTTACTTCCTCTAAATATTGCCAAAAGCACTTGATCTACACTGGTGTCTCCCATCCAAGTAGGACTGAATTAGCTTTCAAATTCAGATAGAATGCCTTTAGAATACAATTTTTACAATGACCTGCAATCATAATAATGCAAGATGACAAGGACATGGGGAGGCCCAAACAAATACTGGGTCTCCATTTATCTTAGGCTGCATCTACATTGTAGAATCAATGAAGATTAACACTATTTTAACTGATATGTCTCAATGTTATGGAATCATGGGAATTATTTCTGTAATTCTGGAAGTACAATTTGCAGGATCCCATAGCATTGAACCATGATAATTAAAGTACAGTAGAGTCTCGCTTATCCAACCTTCGCTCATCCAACGTTCTGTATTATCCAATGCAGTCTGCCTCCCGCCTGGACCCACAGCTGTTACAATACATTGTGATGTTTTGGTGCTAAATTCGTAAATACAATAATTACTATATAATGTTACCATGTATTGAACTACTTTTTTGTCAGTTTGTTGTAAAACATGATGTTTTGGTGCTTAATTTGTAAAATCATAACTTAATTTGATGTTTAATAGGCTTTTCCCTCCTCATTATCCAACATTTTTGCTTCACCAACGTTCTACTGGCCCATTTATGTTGGATAAGTGAGACTCTACTGTAGTATCAAACTGCATAAATTCTTCAGCGTAGATGAATCCACAGTGGAGAGAGGTCAGTGTTTCTTTTAGATTTTCCTGTGATTAACTAAGGTCTTAACCTTTTGACACTCTACTCAGAAAAGGAGGCTGATCCTTTTTGATAACTGTTAAGAGGAAGTATTTACATGACCTCTGGATATGCTGGCTCAGTTTTTGGAGGCTAATTTTTCACAGAAATTTCTAGACATACACATACATATATACAGTAAGCCACTTTCAAATGTTCAAATATCATTCTTCCCCTGCCTTAAAAAAAACTTGGCATGAGTTAGGAGACAGGAAGCTTTGGATACAGCTCGCTTATCTCCAGTTTCCCATATGAAATGACGCCAGTGAAAATTGCCAGGGCATCAGCAAAATGCATTGTATCCAGAAAAGGCAAATGGGAAGGAGAAGTTAAGAGAACACCGGGACCACGTGATTCCGTGGCGGAGTTCAGCAGCCCCTTCCCACCTTACTTATTGAATTGCTCCGCTGATAAATTGTTAAGGTTCACTTTCCAATTCAATTCTGAGGAACCTTTATCCTCCCCATTCACCCTCCCATCCCAACACAGAAGAGACATTTTGCAAAGCTCTGCATCTGCTAGGAAACATTTCCAGGCGAAATCAGAAGCATGTGGTACAGCCTAATGCTTCGATCCATTTTAATTATCAAGTTGTGGCATGTGGATTGGGGAAATAAGTACCTTTTTCAATTGGGCATCATCTGAATATGGATAGTAATGTTGGAACAAGATCTAAATCAGAACGAAATTCATGTTCCATTAAACTCAATGTTCAATGCAATGCATCAAATGTGTTTGTAGATGTGTGCTTTAAAATTATTAGGGAAGGCAGTAAGCTGTAAAATATAAGGCAGACATTATATATTAAAATATTCCTGCATCTTCTTAAAATAGGATCTCTGGGGATATCAGGAATTGAATAGTCCACGTGCTTGTTGAGGGATGTTAAACATTTCCTTCCTTCCACGAACGCCCAATAAATATCTCCCCTTTGACTAATTACTGTTTTACCCAGGAGGGAATTTGTTTATTGGCACCAGTAGCAATTTCCCTTTTTGACCAAATAACACAGACAGCAACCCATTTTGTTTTTCCTTCCAGGCAGCACAAACAAGAGGTTACTGTGTCCCGAAATATTACTTGTGTGGGCTGCATTCAACTGATGGGTCAGACAAATTGTTTAAGTCTGCTTCAGGTTTGTTCTAAATGTGTGCCAGAACAGGGTGCCCTGAACTTAGCATGGTCAGTAATCGACTTTGCAGAGGCTAGTTTTCTGTTTGAAGGGCACACTATTAGAAGTTCAGTTTGATCACCATGAACTATAAGAAGAAACATTTGGGGGCCTAGAAATTGCCCATCAGTTGCAAACACCTGGGCTGCAGTTCGAGTAAGAGCAGCGCATTGAAAACCTTTTGGAGTGATGAATACCCCAAGGGGAAATAGGAAGAGAAATGGGGAAAATTGATAACCAAGGCTAAGGGCAATAGAAAATATAAAATATTAAACCAGACTATCCTTACAATCTAACAAACAGAACACTTTCTCAGCCTTATATGAAGGCAAATGAACAATAAAGGAAATGTATGACTGTTCCCGGAGGGAGGGGGAGGGGTTGAAAATAGTGGGAAAGAGATGGAAACAAGTAGGAGATGAGAGCAATTACATATGCAATTTTTAAATCTCTTTTTTGCTAAATTGTTAAAATATATGTTCTTTAAAAGTCACTTATGTTATCTTCTAAACTTCCTCTTGAGGAAAAGTGGTTATACTATACTCTACGTACTTGTTCTAAATAATAAAAAAGAATGAGGAGTACAAACGTACTGATATACCAGTGTAACGACCACATCATATGTGGTAAATTTGGGCTATAACTCCAGTTGTGCTGCAGCTTTGCTACAGAGCCCATCAGCTCTCACTACATGTGGGAGAAATACTTCCGAGGCAGCTATGTGTCAAAACTGTGGCAGAACCAGAGTTGCCACCGAAAAAAAGCCAGTGGCAGCAACACAAGGTTTTGCATTGCCCTCAGTGGGATAAACTGACCAGCAGACATTTCCTCCCATGTAATGAGGTAGGGAGGAAGCCAGAATGGTGCAAAATGCGGGACAATAGGACCCCATGCCTCCTGGGCAGGCACTGCTAGGATTGCCACAATGTGCGATTCCGGCTGTGTGTGAGACAAGGTAGTAAGTCTAGAAAGTTTAATGAAAAAATGGACACAAAATCCTGTACTGACTTATCCATGAGTCAATGTAAGTTCTGTACGATAACTCAAAACCATCCCCTTCTTTGAGTAGAGTGGCAAAATATGACACCGTAATCTGTCCTGGGACAATCTAGAACAGTGGTTCTCAACCAGTGGGTCTCCAGGTGTTTTGACCGACAACTCCCAGAAATCCTAGCCAATTAACCAGCTGTTAGGATTTCTGGGAGTTGAAGGCCAAAACATCCACGGACCTACGGGTTGGGAACCACTGATTTAGAAGATACAGCAACCCCTCTACTCTCTCTACCACTGGCACTACTTCTGGCCTTTTTAAACACCTGGGTGGCAGCAAGGGATGATTGCTCTCTGCAAGGCATTGCTGGTGCTTTCAACTCTTTGTGGGATAATGCTTGACTTATCCGCAAGTCATATCAAAATCCATAATTTTGGCTCTTATACCTGCCCTTGACTTATACACAAGTATATCTAGTCAACCTATACACAAGTACATATGAGTGTTGACTTCAAATTATGGATTTTGATATGATTTGTGGTTACATTGTGGGTCATTCTGCAAAATAGGGGAATGTGACAGTGCTGTCTCAAGGAGCCAATCACTACCAGTTTACTGCTGGAGGGGAGTAGCAGTGGTGATATGGGGGTGACATGTCCTCCCTTGCACTAATCAATACAGATAAAGGATAAACACATCTGGGCAGGGAATTGGACCAAATCAGAATGACCCAATTATCCAGGTTGCTGTGAAGCCTCAAGATTCTCTAGAGCTTCCAGAGGCAAGAAAAGATAGGATTTGCAATTGATGTCACTGTATATCATGGAGGTCAAGCATCCTCAAACTGTGGCCCTCCAGCTGTTTGGGTCTTCATCTCCCAGAATTCCTGGGAAAGGGATTGTAGGTGGTAGGATGACAGCTACCAGTTTCATAATGTAGGTACAGCAAGAAATATAATTTTACTTTTTTTTATTAAAGCGAAGATTTATTAGAGCACCCGGATCTTAAACCAGAAATAACAACAGAAGGCCTGTCCAGTTTGTTACCTCCGGGCATTTTGGATAAACTGAAAAGGGACTACATAAATTCTCTCAAGGTAATACTTCATTTTTCTTTCCTGTTCAGTCTTAGCTAAATCAAAGAAAGGGGAATTGTAATCTGTTAAACAGCATGTTCCTTGTTTCTTTGTTCCAGTGCATTGAATTTTCCAGCTCTCTTTAAAATGAAGTTATAGTGCAAACATAGCACAAAAATGTGTCTGCAAGATGTTGGCAAAAATGCCCTTGTGACCTCTCTTCTCTTTCTTGGTCTTAAAGATCTTTTGAGGCAACAATCTGTCAGCAGAACTGCTCTGCTAGTTAAGATCTGCTAGTGGAGAAACTGAATTATGCTGATCCACTTTCCACTAGCAACACAACTACTTTGCCTGGACAAAGTTGTCTGTCTGTGACTTCAAGTCACCTGTTGACTTGTGGCAGTTCCATGAATTTGTAAATGAGGGGCCAAACTGAACTTTCAGGACTGAACTACAATACTAAGAACAGGGTTAGAATATTCCACTCTGCCATAGGGTCACTTTGAACACTTTCTCAGCCTTATATGAAGGCAAAGACAAACAATTCTTGCAAAAAAAATACCCCTGTGATAGGTTTGTTTGTTTGTTTACAGTATATTTCGCCCTCTTCACCCTACAGGGAATTTAGGGCAGATTACAATGCACATACACATGACAAACATTCAATGCCAGTTAGACGTACAACATATATAGACAGACACAGAGGCAATTTAACACTCTAGCTGTGCCCAAGCTTTTCCAGCTTCATGACGGTATGCTTGATTCCGGCCACAGGGGGAGCTGCTGCTTCACCATCCATTGTGACACCGAGTCCTTTGATGGAGTACTTCCTCATTCTTCTGCACGCTGCTGGAAGGTTATATGATGTTGTAAATTAGCCTCCCTGCGTAAAGCGATACCTAAATTTCCTACTTGACAAATGCAACTGTTTTTTGGACTGCATAGGTCAAAAGCAAGCTCAACTATTGGCCAGAAGCTCACTCCGATCCAGGCTAGCTTTGAATTCATGACCTCTCAGTCAGTAGTGATTTAATGCAGCTAGCTCCCAACTAGCTGCACCACAGCCTGGTTGTTTTAGGATTTCCATAAGTGATGTGAAGGTACACACAAGAGAGGAGCACTCAGTTCTTGCTGGGTAACCCCTATTGAGTTGCCATACAGTTAAGTCCTTCTTCTGTTTCCCTAGCCTCATAATGTCCTATTTAAGTTGGAGTCACAAAATGGAACAGTAAATGCATCATATATCTCTGGATTCCTCCACTGCCAAAGGCTTGGATGAGATCACTCCTGAAGACCCCTTCCATCTGTACAATTCTAGGATCCTAGATTCATAGGATGGCAATCCCAAATCCCATTTCCCCATAAACTCATGTGGTCACCAAAAGCCAATTGCAACTTCTCAACTTAAACTATCACACAGGATTGTTAGAGTAACAGTAGGGTGGGGACAAATAATATGCAAGACCACTTGTTCCAGGAGATACAGGGAATAAAATGACTGAAAATACATTAGTTCAGTGAAGGGAAATGATTGTATTTCCAGCAGCCTTTTAGGAAGTTTCAGTTTGGTTGGATCTACACTGCCATACAATGAAGTTTCAGAATGAAGATTAACTGTATTGAACAGAATTATAGGGCAATGTAGACTCATATAATCCAATTCAATGCATTTAATCTGCATTCTGAAACTGCAATATTGTATATGGCAGTATAGTCCAATTCAGCCTTGGACTATATTTCCATAAATCTTAGGACATCTCTCTCTCTCTCTCTCTTACTCACAGACTCCCCAAACCCACACTTTCAAACCCACAAGCATATTCTCCCCATTTCACTCTTGCTGTCAGACCCACAACAACAGTACCACGCTTTCTCCACTCTCAGACCCCTTCTACACTGCCATATAAAATCCAGATTATTTGGTATGGCAGTGTACACTCATATAATCCAGTTCAAAACAGATAATACAGATTATTTGTTTTGATAATCTTGATTATATGGAAGTGAAAAAGAGGCCTCGGATTCTCAGGCATGCTCTTCCTTGCTCTTAGACCCACAAACATGATTTCCATACTCTCAGAGAAACAAGCACACTCTTTCTATTTCATTCTTTCTTTCATATCCCATCTTGACCATTTTCTCCTTTCTTTTCTTTTACTGGAAGAACCACAAATGTGCTCTCTCCATACCTGTCTCCGTCTCAGGCACTCCCCACCCCCACCCCCAGGGTATACACACATCTCTTAGATCCACAAGCATACTCTTTCCACTTCTTTCTCACTTTCAGATCCATAGGAATGTCCACTTTTCTCTCACTTTCAATCCAACAAGTAGGTTTTGCCCACTTCCCTCTCAATCTCAGCTCATCAAGTCACTTCTGGTCACTTCTGACTGGCATGAAAGCTGACTGGCACAACCTGGGGGTAACAACCAGATACAATGAAGACATTTGCCCTTGCACTTTGCTACTCTTTTAAAAAATATATATTTTATTAAGTTTTTTTTATAGTCGAGAAAATAGTGCACATCGAAAGTGTGAGAACAATTTTCAAATAGGAAAGTTAGGAAAAAGGATCGGCAGGAAAAGAAGAGGTGTAAGAGAGGCGGAGTAAGCATGCCCCATGTGGAAGACATCTCACCACACTAAACAGTGGATGTGGCTCTTAATGGGACATACCGCATCATCCCCGTAGGATGTCTACACACAACACTGCTATTTAGCCGATATTGTACCACTTGACATCCACCAGGAAGAAGCAGCCAATAATTTAAGGACCAAGGCAGTAACATCTCCAGCCCATCCCCTGTTCGAATATCAGTCAGCACACCAATGCCTTAAATTAAGAAATAGTTTTCTAAGATCTACAGTGATACTAGCAGTAACACCTCAGCAAGTGAGAGTCCAAAAGTGGCACGCCGAAACCTGGAACCTCAAGCCATGGCTGATACCAAATGAGAGACTCCTCCCTGGCCACACAGAAGACTGGGTGACTTGGAAGGCGCTGGACAGACTGTGTGTGCTCTGGCACCATGAGATGCAGAGCCAACCTTAAGAAATGGGGCCACAAAGTGGAGTCCACCACATGCGAGTGTGGAGAAGAGCAAACCACTGACCACCTATTACAATGCAGTCTGGGGCACTCCAAGTGGCCAGCTACTGGTCAAAGAAAATGTAGCATAATGCTGAGTTTTTAAACTTTTTGTGTTTTTTAAAATACAACTGTACCCTCGTTTCGCTTCTGATACGATAAATAAATAGCTCATCAAGTGTGCTCTCCCTACATTTCTCTCATTCTCAGATCCACAAGAATGGTCTCTCTCTTGGTTTCAGGCCACAAATCTACTCTCCTCACTTCTCTCTCACTCTTATATCAAGTGCCTTATTCCACAACTCTCTCTCTCTTTTCTCTGTCTCTTATTTACATAGAGTCCCCATGTGAACTCATGCACATAGACCCCAAGCCCACCATTCTCCTCTCCATCTGACTTCTGCAAATTTCTTAAGTGAGAATCGTAGCTTCTCTCCATGAACCATTACGGTGCCCTAATTACCAATAGCTCGAAGTTCACTCCATCAGGCAACACAGCCTCTTAAAGGATCCATTGTACACACAATTTTTTGGTTTTGAACAGGCAGTGCCAAACAGTGCATTGCCTTTCTAACAAATCTGCGATTTTTTCAGGATGTGAACCAGGAAGGAATCCATTGCCTCTTTCCCATTGCATGCTATTGAAATCCACTAGATAGCATGAAAAGTAAAAGAACATTTTAGCTGCTGTATCCTCAAAAATGTGGCCAGCTGATTATCCTGTACTCCCAGCTGTATTAAATGATTGCATCTAAAACAACATGGCAAAATTTAGAAATCAGAGGCATGAAAGCATAAAACGTGGCCAATCTGTTTGTACTTGTGTCCTCTATCAAACAGAACTGTTTATACACCAAGCCAATCCAGACTTAAGTCATACAATATTGATTCATAAGTGAGTCGGCTTGTAACCACATCTGTGTGTTCCCACCATGCATTGCACTCCTAAGTATAACACAGCTGCATGATGGTTTCTAAGATTTAAATTGATTTCAGTGGGACCACTCACAGTAAGGTACTCTTCGCAATGGGGAATAAGCTTCTGAATCCATCCCTCCACTTCAAGAGGCTGCTAATGATGGGAACAGGTGGGAAAGTGTGGTTTAATTCCATATTTAGGAGCAGAACTTGCTTCTTCTCAAAACTATATTAACCTCAAATAACACATCTTCCCTTAGTTTTGTTGACTCTTGCAGACCTAAACCAGAGCAGTCTGCAATTCTGTTAGGAAATATGGGCATTTTTACACAGAAGGGATTTGGTTTCAAAGCAAATTAAAACTTGTTTTGAAGCAAACATGGAACTTGCTTTGGTTGGAATTATAATTACAAGGATCAGTGTTCTTCTCTGCCTCTTTCTCAAGTATGTAAAGATGCATGTACAGTTGACCCTCCATATCAATGATTCTGCTTCAATGGATTCAGTCTTCTATGGTTTGAAAATATTCCCCAAAATTCCACAAAACAAACCTTGATTTTGCCATTTTATATAAGGAACACAGTTTTACTATACCATTGCACATGTGTAATGTGGCTGTGTGGACAGCTGGGTTGGGTTCCATTTTGCTCAGTCCATTGTCTACATACACATCACTGCTACTACCATTCTGCTGCATTGATCAGTACAGGAAAGGGAATGGGTTGTCCTCATATGGCTTCCACTGCACTACACTAGTCAAGCTGCACCCTGCAAGAGCCTAACAATCACAGTGTTATAGCATGGTCAGATTCTGAGTGCTCAGAAGATGAGGAAGGGAATGCTGGGGTAGATTTAAAGGGTCCAGAGGAGGATAGATGTAGCCAGGAGAGAGTTGTTTTGGAATCTTCTGGCAGTTCCCATGAGACTTGAGAAAGTGATATCAGTTCTCATGATAACCTGCCAGAAGTGCAGTCTGAGAGAAATGTGGGAGATTAATGTTTGTCTAGGTCGAGGCGCTAGGAACTTTGGAGGCAGAGCATACAGCAAAGACAGATTCACTTTTCCCAGAGGCTTAAAGATAAGGAGAGGAAAAGCAGGTGTGTGATGTCATGGGAGGGATAGAGGCCTTTTAAAGTGGTTCCTGCTGGTACAATCCTTTCTGAGAGCAATGCTGTATTCAGGTTCAATTGTTGGTCCTACATTTGTGGAATTCGTGTATTCAAATTTCTAAGTTTGTTTCCTGTTGCTACTTCATGTGTGGCATATATCACCTGCCTTGGATTCATGCTATCATGTTTATGGATGTTTTTGTGGAATGACTCTTGAGACTGTATTTGAAGGATTGTGGACTTTTGGCTATCTTGGAATCACTTTTTGAACTTTGATTCTCCTTTTTAGATTTGCTTGTTTTTATGTACTCTTCTCTAAATAAACTTTTACTTACTGGATTATCTGGATATAGTGTGGTTTGTGGTGAAAAGGTGTTTCAGGACTCTAGTGAAACACACAGCCACATCTGCTAAGGTTAGAATGGGTGCCCAAGCAACCAACCAGAAGGAGAGGCTCAACACCAAAGGAGCAGGGAGATCTGTGACTGGCATGGCATAGTAGCAGCAACACAAGGAAGTGTTGCCATTCTGCAGAGGACCGTGTTGGCTCCATTGGAGCCAGCACAACAAGAAAGTCTCCCGTGTTGTAGGATAAGCCTCCAACGTCATTTCCACCCTGGCTGGGAGCAGTCTCTCCTCCAGAACTTACTTACTTAGGCGATCCCTCGTTGTCCAAGAAGGACTGTCTTCCAAGATCGGTGTACTGGTGGTGGGCACATAGGTGACTGTGGAGCCCTATTCTTGATCTGCATCTTCACCCGCAGTGAGGGTATCGGTTTCCAGGTGGAAGGTGGTTCGGGTCAGGGGTTGGCTTGATGCGCCTTCCTCTTGGCATGTTTCTCTCATTTGCCTTCCATTCATGCCTCTTCAAATTCTACAGCACTGCTGGTCACAGCTGACCTCCAGCTGGAGCACTCAAGGGCCAGGGCTTCCCAGTTCTCAGTGTCTATGCCAGAGTTTTTAAGGTTGGCTTTGAGCCCAACTTTAAATCTCTTTTCCTGCCCACCAACATTCCATTTTCCATTCTTGAGTTCAGAGTAGAGCGACTGCTTTGAGAGACGGTGGTCGGGCATCTGGACAACATTGCCAGTCCAGTGGAGTTGATGGAGGACCATCGCTTCAATGCTAGTGGTCTTTGCTTCTTCCAGCATGCTGACATTTGTCTGCTTGTTTTCCCAAGAGATTTGTAGGATTTTTCAGAGGCGATGCTGATGAAATCATTCTAGGAGTTGCATGTGACTCTGTAGATAGTCCACGTCTTGCTGATGTATAGCAGGGTTGGGAGGACAATAGCTTTATAAACAAGCACCTTGGTATCCCTATGGATGTCCCGGTCTTCAAACACTCTCTGCTTCATTCGAAAAAATGCTGCACTTGCAGAGCTCAGGCTGTGTTGTATTTCTGTGTCAATGTTGACTTTTGTGGAGAGGTGGCTGCCAAGGTAGCAGAAATGGTCAACGTTTTCTAATGTTACATCATTATGCTGTATTTCTGGCATTGGAGAGTGATTAGCCGGTGACTGCTGGAAGATGACTTTGGTTTTCTCGATATTCAATGACAGGCCAAGCTTCTCGTTTGCTTCTGTGAAGGTGTTTAGAGCGGCTTGTAGGTCTTCTGAATGTGCACAGACGACATTGTCATCAGCATACTGGAGTTCTATAACAGATGTTGTAACCTTGGTTTTGGCTCTCTGTCTGCTGAGGTTAAATAGCTTGCCATCTGTCTAATAGATGATTTCCACTCCAGTGGGAAGCTTCCCATCAACAAGATGAAGTATCATAGCGATGAAGATGGATAAGCCTCCAAAATCATTTCCACCCCCTGGTTGGAGGCAGAGCCTCCTCCAGAAGTTACACAATGTCGTGTAATGGCCAGCGTAGGGCTGCGTCCCCAAAACAGGGTAAAAGCACCCTAGGTTCTATCCAAGATGCAGCACTCTGTTCAATCAGTTGCTTCAGACCCTTGAATCATTATTCAAAGATTTGGACTAAGCTCCAGAGTAGATTCACTACCTAACTATCATGCACAGACCTATGCAAGCACACACTTTTTAGATCAATGTAGAGTGTGTGTGGCCAGGGGCATAGTATCAAATGCATCAGTTTCCGGGTGATGGGGTGAGCCAGTTGCCATCTCAAAATCCCCTTCACATGATTGGCAGCCAGAGATACCGAATGCCTGAACAGGAGTTTCACTTCATATAATTCTGTAGGGAATGTTGCAAACTGAGCTTTCCTCTTTTTTCTTGAAAGCTTCAAGTTGAGTTCCACTTCTTGGTCGTGCTAGAATAGTTTCCATTCATTAATATTTCTTTCTCAACATGTCTCCTAGCAACAGCTCTTAAGAGACAGAAAAATAAGAAGCTGCCTTTTAATCAGTTCTGGCTGTAGTTCTGATAAGTCTCTCCACTGTAGGTGTGGGAGACCTTTGGACCTCCAAATGGTTTGGACTTCTACTCCCATTAGACCCACCTAGCATGACTAAAGGTAAGAAATTATGGGAACTGAAGTCCAGATCATCTCAAGGGACAGAGGTTCTCCAACTCTGGTCTGCTTTGATTAACGGTCCAGAGTGCCTTGTTAACCTGAGCCTTTGAAATGGCGAAGGGGATTCTCTTGGGGCGAATGGATCATGACCTGTTAGGATCACTGACCATTAGGGTATAGATCATGAACTGTTAGGATCACAACCTAATCAGGGTAGCAGAGTTTATTTGGCATTGGATGATCGCTGGGCATGTAGATATTTTGTTTCTGTTTGATGCTTTCAGCAGACAATGACGCAAGCAGACTTCTTTTTAAAGATAACAAGTTTTGTTTTACTGATAACTTCATGTATTTCAAGATACAAGCAAATTTCTTGTCAAAGGTTAAAAAAAAGTCATACTCCCCCTCTATTCTGCCTTGGTCAGACCACACCTGGAATACTTTGTCTAATTATGTGCACCGCAATTGAAGGGAGATGTTGACAAGCTGGAATGTGTCATCTCTTAGGGGTGCATTGAATGCGATTTTCCTGCTTCATGGCAGAGGGTTGGACTGGATGGAACATGAAGTCTCTTCCAACTCTGTGATTCTATGATTCTATCAAAGATCAACATACACACTAAGGACATAAATATATGCATACAGTATGTGATAATGTTGAGCTGCATTATTTGCCTTTATCTTAACATTTAGTCAAAAACAAAGGACTATCTGAAGAATATTCAGTGCCTGGAGACTGAAAAGTGGAATAAAGAAGAGCAGCCGGAAGCTCTGCAAAGCCCATACGAGTCATTCCTCTCCTTTGATATTCAACAGGTATTTGCCTGTGTGTGTGTGTGTGTGTGTGTGTGTGTGTGTGTAGTACTTGCCTTTTCTTTGATTCCAAGGAAACAGAAAAATTACCTTCTGGTATGTAGGTGTCACCCACTGTGCTAATTTATGTTAGTCACGTACTTGTAGAGCGTATTAGCAAAATGGAGTTTATTACAACTTTTTAACACTGCCACCACTTGCTTCCTAGGTACAAATTAAGCCTGCTGTCAATTGTGTCACAGACATAATAGGCATCTGATTTTTTTTCATTTCATTTTCGATAAAAAAGAACAGATTTATTAGAAAAGGTATTTAATGGGGTAAAATCCACTTGCTCTGGGGCCTATGTGGCAACCTCAAAAAGAGAAAAAGAAGAAGGAAAAAGGGACTACAGCCAGAATGAAGGCCACCCACATTTAAACAGTGAGAAGGAAACAAAAGTGCCTGCTAGTTTGAGGGACTGAGAAATAATGAAGCCAGAAGGACTTAATTTTCACAGTATTCAGGGGGCTGAGTCATTTCAATTAAATAACACCAGAAAAGGATTGCGAGGTAGTGGAGGGAAAAAAATGTTTAGGTGAGAAGGTATATTTATGTATGTGAGCACACACACACACTGTTTCTCTTTCATGGAATTATAATACATTTTCAATAGCCAGGAAAGCAGTTGCGGATTGTGTTAGAAGGTATGTTGGGTCCTTTATAGAGTCACCCAATAATTTTCTGCATGTGTTGGTTGTGGGGCTCCCCATGAGCTTTCTTATTTTAGGGAGGAAATATGTTAAAATCGGGGGCAAGTAAATTGTGGTCGATGCCTTACATTTGGCCTAGATCTCATTACGGGGCTCCCAAGGCTTCAAACCTATATATACCACTGAAACCTGATAGCAAATATGCTACTGAATTTCAACAGCAAATTGCTAAGTTACTAAAAGAATTACTAATTTTCAAAGATTTTTTTTTGTGATTTATTTCCAAGAACCGGCAGTGTAATTTGCCGATTTATTTTGGTGGCCAGACACACCACCTGTGGACTGATTGAACCTAAAATAGTAGGACTTCTTCTAATGTTCTTAGCATAAAATATTTCTTGATTTCCAGCTTACCTGTCCAAATGTTATCTCCCCCTATGAACCATCTGAGGTTAAGATCATCTGGGGAGGCACTGCACCCAAACCCACCCCCCTTGCAGGCTCAACTGGTGGGACGAGTGACACGGCCTTCTCAATAGTGGCCCTTTGGCTTTGGAACTCCCTCCCCAAGGAAATTAGATCAGCTCCCTCCTTCCTGACCTTCAGAAAGAAAGTTGTGGGACCAAGCATTTGCCCAATGATTCCCAGTGCAGCAACAATTTCTCAGTACAATAATGAACAATGAAAATTGGAATGGGTCCTGAAATATGCTTATGGACTGTGTGATTTTAAGTAGTTGTGATGTGTCCTCAGATCCATTTAATTTCTTGGAGTCACACAGAGAAAACGATCCAAAAGAGAGTGAATGAGTAAATGTATCTACTTGTAGAATTAATACAGTTTGAGATCACCTTAATTGCAATGGCTCAATGCTATGGAATCCTGGGATTTGTAGTTTGTGAAGCACCAACACTTTTTGATAGAGAAGTATAAAGATTAGTAAAACTCAGATTCCCGTGACTCCATAGCATTAGGCCATGGCAGTCAAAGTGGTGTCAAACTGCATTAACTCTACAGTGTAGACTCTGTCTGTCAAACTTGACAATACTGGCTAACTAGACCTGTGGCCTGACTAAACATAAAACATTAAATCTGTTACAGTAATTTGTGATATATGATATTTTAATGATTGTATGTTGTTTTTATGTCTGGAAACCGGGCTGAGTCCCTCGATGAGGTTGAGAAGCTCGGTATAGAAAACGCCGAAATATATAAAATAAATAAATAAAACAGCTTCTTATATCCTAAAGTATTTGTTTTTTATATATAATATAAATTTTGATAGACAGACAGATAGCAATGAATTCCTCTTCCCCGCTGAATATTCAGTTCAAATGAGATTACTTTTCATGTCAGTTCTAAAGGTTATGGATGTCATTGTGTTATTTTTAAGTTTAGTTATGCCTATTAGTAATCTTGCTTTTACAAAAAAAAGTTCTAATTTCAGCAAAGCTTTGCATCAAAAAGGAGCAAATTGCCAAAAGCTATGGTTTTGCATCACCATTCTCTAAATGCTGAATTTTTAGAAACATTTATATTACATATTCTTTTAGCTATTTTGTTCTAACTTATACGGTAAGCTGTTTTGGTTCTCACATTGGGAGAAAGATAGGATGTTCTCAAAACAAAGTAAAATAAAATAAATTTGTCCAAAGGAAACATGAGCTATTTTGATAGAGTTCTTTGGCAATATTTTGCCCCAGGATTTGCATGGTTCACTAAAAATGCTAAGAATGGCCAGAGAAAGAAGGGCAGAATGTGTCAGAAGCTGACTTCTTGTTTTGAAACAAGAAGCGCATTTCCTGTTTGCAACCTGCTTGCAACCTATTTAAAAAGTGAATTGCTGCTCACTTTTTAAATAGGTTGAATGAAAGACCATTTAGTCACCCTGTCATCAACAGATCTGCCCTAGTCTTGCAGATTCAAGCCATCGCTTCCTTGACTGAATCTAACCCATCTGGAATGCCTTCTTCCTTTCTTCCTACTGCTGTCCTCTACCTTACCAAGAATTATTGTCTTTTCTAGTGAGTCATGTCTTTTATGACATGTCAAAAGTAAGATATTCTCAGCTTTTTAGGAGAATTCAGGCATGATTTGCTCTAGAACAATTTTTGGGAGTCCACAGTATCTCCAGAACTCTTCTCCAGGGCTATGTCTCAAAGGAGATTATTTTCTTCCCATCCACCTTCTTCACTATCCGTCTCCCACAACCATGCATGTTGTTGTTGTTGTTCATTCGTTCAGTCATCTCCGACTCTTTGTGACCTCATGGACCAGCCCACGCCAGAGCTCCCTGTCGGCTGTCACCACCCCCAGCTCCTTCAAGCTTAGTCCAGTCACTTCAAGGATGCCATCCATCCATCTTGCCCTTGGTCGGCCCCTCTTCCTTTTGCCTTCCACTTTCCCCAGCATAATTGTCTTCTCTAGGCTTTGCTGTCTCCTCATGATGTGACCAAAGTACTTCAACTTTGTCTCTAGTATCCTTCCCTCCAGTGAGCAGTCGGGCTTTATTTCCTGGAGGATGGACTGGTTGGATCTTCTCGCAGTCCAAGGCACTCTCAGCACTTTCCTCCAACACCACAGCTCAAAAGCATCAATCTTCCTTCGCTCAGCCTTCCCTAAGGTCCAGCTCTCACATCCGTAGGTTACTACAGGGAATACCATGGCTTTGACTAGGCGGATCTTTGTTGCCAGTCTGATGTCTCTACTCTTTATTATTTTATTGAGATTGGACATTGCTCTCCTCCCAAGAAGTAAGCGTCTTCTGATTTCCTGGCCACAATCTGCATCTGCAGTAATCTTTGCACCTAGAAATACAAAGTCTGTCACGGCCTCCACAACCATGCATAGAGCTTGGAAATACGGTAGCTCAGACAATACTAACTTTAGTATTTAGTGAGCTATCTTGACACTTCAGGGTTTTTTCTAGTTCCTTCAAAGTTCTAGGGCACATCTACTGACCATATAATGTCAATGCCTTCCAACTGCAGTGGCTACAAAATACGCATGCAACAAACCTGATCCACCCTAATCATCGGCACAGCAAAACAGGATTCTGTCAAACTTGTTCCCAACTGATGTAAGTGGTCAGTGTAGATTTGCCCCTCCATCTTTTGAATTCTCTACTGCTATCTACAGGCTGATTCATGATTGAGCCAAAGTAGAGGAAATCTGGAACTATATAACCTCATCACACTAGAGAATGAATCCACTTTAAATCCGGTTGTTGCCTCCTGCAGAATTCTGTGGTTTGTAGTTTACGGAGGAGCCTTTAACAGTCTCACTAAACTACAAACCCCAGAATTCTGCAGGAGGCAGAAACCGGATTTAAAGTGAATTCATTCTCAATGGTGATGAAGTAGTATATCACTGTCTTCATTATTTACTTTAAAGTGATGTTAATTATCTGAGGTCATTATTTGTTTTCTCAGTGTTCAACTGTAAACCTCCCTTTGCACTTTCTTCCTTGACTTTTCTCCACTAATCATTCCAAGTCTTTCCTATTTCCTACTTGTAGTTGATATTCCTTCCTCCAATTTCATGCCTCCTTCCTCTGAGTCTAATCCTGCTTTACATATGATATGTTTATCATGCAAATTTTCAAAAATGAGTGCAAAATTCCAGTCTTGCCAGATCTGCTTGCCAACTGGAAACTGTTACATTTCTCCATGTTCAGTCCTACCAGTTGCCTCTGGTCCAGAATAGAAGATATGCATTGGGGCAATCAAATGTTTGGCACACCCATTACTTTAAGAGCAATCCCAAGTTTTTCTTGATGTACACAATCAAAGGCTTTGCTATAATCCATAAAGCACAGGTTAGGAAAAGGCATTTAACATTCTCAGCCAAAGATTTTTAATGCCCCACCAAACTCTCAGGTTCTATAGGATGTTGCCATGGCATTTAAAGTGTGGCATGAAAAGGTCCTTCACCTATAGCTTGTTTCACATAGGCGGCTTCTGTTCTCTTGCAGTGCAAGTCTCCACTTTTCCCATGAAAATGTGTTCAAGAAAGTGGATCTCGTCAAAACTATTATATTAATGTAGTAAGCACAGTTCTTGTTTCTGCATCTGTTAAATTCCTTGTCCCCTTTTTCTGCAGTTCATTAGCGAACATGTGATACAGACTGGAAGCATTTGCAAAAAGGAAGTTCTTGAAATTTCCATCAAAGAAGTGACAGATTTCTTACCATGGTAATTATTACTGTTGCCACTATTGGTGTTGTTGTTATATCTTGCTTTTATTGCAATTGGAACTCAAGGGGACCCACAATGTAAAAAGAAAAATACAATTAAGAACATATAACAAGGGAATACTAAAGTAGAATTATTGTATTAAAACAATTCACCCCTCAGTAAAATAATAAAATGCAATTTTAAATTATAGCAAGCTATTATAACCACTTAGTTAAAAGCACACAGCACCCTTAGCCCCTTAGCCATTTCTCTCCAACCTCTTCCCATTTTTTTCTTTTTGAAAAAAATCCTATTATTTTTATTGGTTTTCTCTAAATGGAACTTAGTCATAGAAAGGAATGTGCTCATGAGAGCTTAGGCATATTCAGAGTAAATAGTACTAAGTTTAATTCTATTTTAATGTCTATAGATAACTTGAATATTGTATTGTTTTTATTAGTGTTGTGTGCAGAATTGGTTCCTACCATTTTTACCGTTTCTTTCATGAAAACAAAAAATGGGAAGCCCCCTTCCTGGACGAAAGCCTGCTTTCATCTGCAGCCAAAATTGCCTCCTTTCCTTGGAAAGAGAATATGTGTGGTGGGACGCGCAGGCAGGCCTAGAGCTCGGCTGCAGGTACACACACACATTCTCTGAGAATGAGTGTGTGGTGGGGCATGCTGGCAGGCCTGGGCTGTGCCTTCAGCTAAGTGCCTCTTACACTAGAGTAAGAGGCATTTGGCTGCAGGCAGGCACATGTACTTTCTGGGCCTGCCTACACATCCTGTCACACATGCACTCTCTGAACATACGTGTATGGCAGGGCATGCAGGCAGGCCCAGAGCGCATCTGCAGCTGAGCACCTTTTATTCTACAAGCAAGCCTGCCTGCATGCCCCGCCACACATGCACTCTTCAAGAGTGTGAGTGTAGCAGAGTGTGCAGGCAGGCCTGGAGCACACCTGCAGCTGAGCATCTCTTTCTCTAGAGTAGAAACAGTAGGTGCCAGGTAAGAAGAATGAAAGCACATGGTGGGAAGGGGAGCCAGTGGGTGGAAAGCCTCCCCTCCCATAATGGTCCAATTTTCAGGGAACCAAAAATAACCCTCCCGATTTTGGGCCCCCACCAAAAGCCAGGATAGAAACAAGTCAAGGTTTACCCTAGATGCACATCACTAGTTTTTACCACTGTTCACCATTTGAGTCTCTTTTAGGAAAAAATACAGTGTATAATAATAATAATAATAATAATAATCCCATCCAAAATGAAACTAAAACAAGTTTGCCTTGAACTTTGGAATTTAGCCCCCAAAAAGCTGAGTGAAGTAAGTTGTTTGCTGTTAATACTTTCCCTTATAAAGCATGGTGAAATAAAAGGAAATTGCTCACCTGGATCATGAACATATCATTTCTGAAATGTGGCTGAGGTTACAAAGGCACAATTGAATTAACAAAACAGGCTGAATTTCCATGTCTGGAATCCTACTTTTAATTTGGATTTTAGGTGTGATTAACCTCTGATATATTAAAAGAGCTTTAGAGAAATCTAAAACACATTATATTTTGTACAGCTATAATAAAACCTTAATGCCTAAAAGAGATATTTCCTTCTAAAGATTTTTCATGTAACGAAACCTTTAAACTATATACTTCTCAGAGATGTGAAAAAAGAACTGTGAATTATATCTTTGTTCTCATGTTATATTGGATTTGGAAACTTTGCCTTTTTTCCTGCATGAAAATTCACATGCACCTTTCCATCACACAGTCTTCCTAAATGGATTTTTGTATACATTTTTTCCAAATGAGTAAAATGTTTTTCAGTTGGATCAATTTTAGTGTTTTATGGTTTTATGCATATTGCATATCATTTCTCTGAACTGTGCAAATTTAAAATGCGAATTGCATTGATGCTATAGTAATATATCATTTGCTCTGTTTATGATAGATTGCAAGTCATTTTTAATATGTAATTATGTTACAGCTTTGGGAGAACATTTCTGGACTGGGAGGACATTACAGATAGTCCCCGGTTTGTATCAATGATGGTGGCCTATATTAACAACTTCCATGACTTGAGGTAAATTTGCTCTTTGAATCTTGTTTTCAACTTGATAGATCTTACATGTTGGTAAAGCAAAAAAAAAATCAATACAGTATGCATTTTTGGTGTAGAGTATGTAGAGATATTATTGCAGCAATGTTACGTTCTCCCAAGCTTGAGACACTGGGAAATTAGGCTGGATCTATAGTGGCATATAACCCATCTTCTGAATCCAGATTATCTGATTTGAACTGGATTATATGAGTGTGTGCTGCCATATAATTCAGTTCAAAGCAGATCATCGGGATTCAGAAACTGGATTATATGGCAGTGTAGATGGAGCCTAAGATTAGAACATGAACCAGGCTTAAAGTAATTGCTATTTTTTTTAATAGGACATCATGAGTAATTAGACAGTAGACTAATTTGAAAGTAATGTATTTCAAAAACGAAAGTAATCATAAAACTGCAAATTAATTGCCACTTTAAAAGATGTCATTTTGCCAGCTTCTGGGCTATATAGTAGGCCTGGGTAACAACAGAAAAATTTGTTTCTAAAATCGATTTGTATTTGGGGTTTTTTTTTTGTTTCGATATTTAAAATAATTACAAAATTTTCCTTTTAAAAAGTTCGATATTTACGAAATTTCGTAAATGGTAAAAAAATTAACAAATCGATTTCCGAAACAATAACGAATCGATTCGTTAATGGCGGACGCGACCGCGAAATACGCTAAAAAACCTCCAAAACCTTCTGAAGCTTCCCTCTCCCTCTGTTGTTGACTGTTGGTGTGATATTATAATTTTTTTTCACTAATTAAACCATAAAACTGGCCCAGACATGCGGAAATAATAACGAAACGACCTCAAAACAATAACGAAACGAATACAATATCAAAATACGAAGCATTTACAAAACGTTTTTGAAAATTCGTTTTTTAAATAATTGCTCCAGAATGGTTCGTTATCGTTTTGTAATTGAAAAAATTAACGAATTATTAACGAATTACGAATTAACGAAACGAAACCGCCCAGCCCTACTATATAGCCATGTTCCATAAACATTTTCTCCTGCTTTTGGAACATCATCATACAGCCCAGAAAACTCACAGCAATCCATGAAAGCCTTCAATAACACAAATTTTGCCATTGCTTTCTCTTAGGATGAGAGAATATGACTGAGCGAAAGTTTCCATGGCTGAAGGAGGAGTCCTAGAGTGCATCTCCACTGCAGAGTTAATGCAATTTGACACAACCTAATTTGTCATGGCTCAATGCTATGGAACTCTCAGATTTGTAGTTTTACAAGGTCTTTAGCATTCCCTGCCAAACAGTGTTGGTGCCTCAGCAAACTAGAAGCTCCCAGGATCCCACAGAATTGAGCCATGGCAGTTAAAGTTGTGTCAAAATTCATTAATTCTGCTATATAAGTGTACTGTACTCATCATTTGATCCTCAAAGCACTACTCCACACTGGCACTCACACCATACAGATACATCAGCTGAAAATTAGTTGCCTGACTTCCTTTCTAGACAATAGCAGGGGAAAGGGGCCTTTCACAGTGAACATCAGGCTGGTAAATGCTGATACGCCTCCTCCATATGTATGCTATTGAATAAGATATATTGGTTTGGTCTTTGTTTCCAGCTCTCAGTTGAGTCTCCAAATCCTACATATTCAAACAATTGAAATGTTCCTACAGGGTGTGGTTCTGTTTCATCAGCTGAACAAGTTTTAGAAGTGGATTAGATGAATTTATAGGGGATTAAGACTATCAGAAGTGTGTAAACAAACAAAACTACAGTTCCCTTTGGTTATCAGGGTTCCACCTTCAAGCCCTCCCTCCCACTTTTCACAGAAATGTACACAGATTGACACTCCCTTATCTGAAATTATTTGGATCAGAGGTTTTCAGATGTTAGTTTTTTCAGTTGCTGAATAATTATATTTGCATTTGCATAAAAAATGAGAGATGGGGAAGTGGCTACTAACACATCAAATATCTGCTGAGTTTTTCTTCAAGGGTTGTCTTTTAGCAAAGAAGCCTAGCCCCCTTTCCCCAAATGCAAAAGTAGGCAACTGGTGGCAAAAAAGTTTCAGTTTTTGGAGTGTTTCAAATGTTGAAGTGCTGGATAAGGAAGACTAGCTTGTATTGCTTTCCATGTGTATCATTCTAAAAGTATGCATTCTGTGTGCATTTCGAAAACTTGGATTTCCCCCTACTAACTAATGTTCATTAGCTCACACCTTTAAAATGTATATATTGTGATGTACATTTTTCAAACTTACATTTATTGAATATTTTTGGTGCACTATTAATGTACAAGTTCATAGATGCATGGTTTTAAGATTGCAAGCTGTGTTCAGGCTCATGCAATCATAGCAGCATACCTCTGCATGGCAGTTCATGGAAAATATCAGCCTTCCAGATGTTTGTGCAACAACTCCCAGTAACCCAAACAGGATGCCCAATGGACAATAATGATAGGACTACTGATCCAAAATATCTCATAGTACCAGGATGCCTAGCGCTGAGATACTCTTTGGTATGATCTCATCGCAGGTGGTGCAATGGGCTCAAGCCTTGTGCTGGTAGGACTGCTAACCAAAAAGGTTGGCGGCTTGAATCCGGGGAGCGGTGTGGGCTCCTGTCTGTCAGCTCCAGCATCTCATGTGGGGACATGAGAGAAGCTTCCCACAGCATGGTAAAATATTCTGGCACCCCCTGGGCAACGTCCTTGGAGACAGCCAATTCTTTCACACCAGAAGCGACTTGCAGTTTCTCAAGTCACTCCTGACACACACACAAAAAATATAATCAAATGGTTCTTATTTTCCAAAAATATTTAAAGATGTCATTCAGAAACTCTCTCTTTCAGTAGGTATTGTTTCACCTCTACAACAACTCTTGACCAGTAAATACACTTCTCTACCTACACAGAGAGGTTGCTTTATAAACCAATCTCTCTTTCTCACACACACAAACACATACAAAATGTGTGGATGCTCAAGTCCCATTTTATACAGTGGCATAATAAAATGGTGTCCCTTATATAAATGGCCAAAATCAAAGCTTGCTCTCTGTAATTATCAAAATCTGGGATTATGCTTTTAGAATTTAAGTACTGGCATTATATCACCTCTAGATGGCACGATACAACAAGTAATTAGCAAGAAAGGAAAGGCTGTAGCTGGGAAATCCAACTCTTTCATAACACATTTTTCCTGACAAGACATCTGAGCAGTTGTTGTTACAAAAACATTTAATCACATATACGCTAAGAATTCACACTGTGCAGAAATAGGTTTCCTCGGATAAACATGTAATTGCTGTGCCAAAGCTGTTTTTTTAATATAAAAAGTTTGCTGTTTTGGCATCATTGAATCACACACATTTAATCTATGGAGTTCTTGGGAAAGGCCAAATGTTCAGGGTACATGCTGCAGAGCTGGAAACACTTTTAGTTTTCTGTTCCTACATGGGCAATGACAAGGAACTGTTTGTCTTTGGAAAAGTGATGCTCAACGTGACAGCACCAATCACTCTGCCACAGAACAGACTCTAGTGGCCTCTTGTGGATTGTCTCAGTTAGAACTATCCGAATAGCAAAAGAATGGAGGAACATGTCTTATGTTGAATCAGACTGTTCTTTCATCTGGGGGATCAGCTACCAGTAGCAAATCAATGTCAAGTCAATAGGAATTTTATGTCCACTGAAATCAAAATCAATAGATAACAAACAAATAAGATTTTCTTGATCTATATAAGGACATATTAAAAGTAAATGGATTGTCTAAGAAGTTTGTTTCCATCCTTGTTCCTTGTTTGCTTCCTAAAAGTGATGGTGTGGAAGGGAGAATCAGTGGAAATGACCATGGAACTAAGTCATGGGCAGGAGGTGATTGTGGAAGCCTCTCATTGCCTACCCTTTCTTTGGACATGGAAGCAGAAATAAGCCTAGGTAAAGGTAGAGGTTTTCCCCTGACATTAAGTCTAGTGGTGTCCAACTCTAGGGTTGGTGCTTATTTCCATTTCTAAGCTGAAGAGCCGGCATAGTCCATAGGCACCTCCAAGGTCATGTGGCTGACATGACTGCATGGAGTGCTGTTACCTTCCCGCTGGAGTGGTACCTATTGATCTACTCACATTTGCATGTTTTCGAACTGCTAGGTTGGCAGAAGCTGGGTCTAACAGCGGGAGCTCACGCCATTCCCTGGATTTGAACCTGCGACCTTTTGGTCAACAAGTTCAGCAGCTCAGCAGTTTAACCCACTGCACCTCCAGGGACTCCAAGCCTAGCTAGAGCAAAACAATATATTTTTGCAAATCAAACATCTTAAACATCCTCATGTTTAAGATGTTTGATCTGCAAAAATATATTGTTTTGCTCTGGAGGAGAAAACTAGTATTCGGAGAAAGGATTAAGCATTATCATCTTATTAGACATTTATTTAATTCAAATGCACCACCAATTTTATTTGCCATTAATTCACACACATATTTTTGTTGGGGAAAGAAGTTTGCTCATGTAACAAACATGTAGTTACAGGAATATCTTTGGGCAATACAGCTTCATTGCAAAATCTCTGGCTTATCCTAATCAAGAATCTATGGATGTTACTCACTTCCTAAAATAAAACCTGTAAGATGAAGAGTCATAAGAGAATAAAGAATTTTGTTCACATGCTCTTTGTTCTTCCTCTATTATTGTGGCTGATGCAAATTTAGTACAATGGTGCCACTTAAGCAGACTTAAGGGTGTGGACTCACGTTTCAAAAGCTAGATTGCTATCTATAGGAATGCCTTAGTTACATCTTGTCTGGATTACGGTAACACACTCTACGTAGAGCTACCTCTGAAGAGTGCTTGTAAACTTCAGCTGGTCCAAAGAGTTGCAGCCAGGTTGCTAACTGGGGGTGGTTACAGGGAATGAACAGCCCCCCTGTTCACTGGCTGCCCGTCTGTTTCTGGGTACAATTCAAAGTGCTGTTTATAACCTTTAAATCCTTACATGGTTCAGGTACAGGCTATTT